TCATGGCCACCCACTGCTCACCCCACCCCCGGTGCCCACCTGTCCATCTGTCCCCACAGCACCCCCGCACCGTGGCCCTGCGCCCACACAGTCACCCAGCCACCCACCGCTGCCCAACAGCCCTCCATTCATCCTCCGACGCCCAACCAACCACCCAGCCACCTCCTCCCGCCCCTGACGCCCATCCGTCCACCCCCAACACCCATCCACCCATTCACCCATCGCTGACACCCACTCATTCGCCCATACACGCATCATACCCCAAAATTCACCCATCCATCCCCCAATGCTCACCCCCATAACACCCATCCATCCCCATGCACCCATCCAGATCCCCGACGCTCACCCATCCACCCCCCTTCACCCATCCATCCCCATGGCACCCTTAGCCCTGCCCATCCACCCCTCATCTCCTTTCCATGCCCACAGCACCCACATACCCACGTGCCATCCACCTCCCATCCTCGCACACCTCAAGGACATGCTGATGCACCCACAGTCTCAGGAGATCCTATCTGGGGCATCCCAGCACCCACCAGTCACTGTTGCCCATCAGTGCCCGGCAGAGCCCCAGCTACCGCACCCATGGCCAAACCCCAGCTGTGCTACAGCCCGAGCGGGTCACCCCTGGTTGCTAAACCACCTCCTGAGCGCCTGGGCACTGCCCCCCAACCAAATTTGGAGCCCCCCAACAGCCTGGGCACCGGGGAGAGCCAGCCCACGGTGAATCACTGCCAGGGGACCCGACCCACGGGACAGGGTCGCTTCTGGCCCTTGGTGCTTCCTCAGTGCCACCCTCCTCCTCAGGCCCAACAGCCAGAGGCCACCACGCGTCCAGACGAGGCAAGATGGAGGTGCTGGGTGATGCTGGAGCAGCGGGTGCCTGCAGGAGCCTGGTGCCTGTGTCACCCCGGGGACCCCCAGGCAGCCAGCACCCGGTGCAGGGAGACAGGCGCTCGGGTACGGGCAGCCATCCACCCCAGCAACACCCTGCAGAGTCCGGGGGGTGAACTCTCGGGGAGGGGACACAGCCGGCCTGGGGACAGTCACAC